GTAATATGTCAGAGATATTCCAATTTTCTTGTTTTAATTGTATTTAAAATTTCTATTTCTTTATTTATCCTTCTCAGAACCTCTTTGTTTGTGACGTGTTTTGTCCACGATATTTTCAGAATTCTTCTATATACCCATAGCTTAAATGACTTCAGTTTTTTTCATTGATGTCGCATGGAATGGAAACCATAAAACAAAGTCGAAAAAACATAGTACCTCGCCCACCTAATTCTTAGTTCCAATTTTAAATCCCTTGTACATAGCACTCTTCTCATTTTGTTGAAATTTGCTCTAGCCTTTTCTATTCTAATTTTGATCTTCTGAATGTAATGATTTGTGGAGTTATTCATTGTTCCCAGAGTTGCATATTTGTCCACTTGTTCAACGTTGGTTCCGTTTATGAAAAGATTCTCGTTATTTCTTTGAGTTTTCGATATGCTAATAAATGTCGTCTTCTTGACGTTCATTGTTAGACCGTACTCTTTTTTACACTTCGCTATTCTGGTCACCAGTCTCTAAAGATCTTCAATATTTTCAGCTAACTAAGATCACCGTGCCGTCCGCATATCTAATGTTGGTAATGGGAACTCCATTTACTAATGTAAATGCTACTTACAACTGTCCAAATCTGGTGGCCTCTCAAAAAGATATTGACAGCCTCGCCTCAGATAGTTTATTGTCATCATCATCATCAATGGTGCTACAACCCTATGAAAGAGCCTCGACCTTCCCAAGTCTATTACGCCAAGCAGTCCTATCCATTGCCAACCGTTGCCAGTTTGCTGCGCCTATCTTTCTACCATCCTCATCTACACCATCCTTCCATCTGAGTTTTGGCCTACCCCTTTTTCTACTTCCCACGGGTTGTGACATAAGGATTCTGCTTTTATAATATGACATAAGGATAATTTATTGTATTTAATAAAAAAAACTTACAATTTGTTTGAAAATATCTGCTTTGCGCTGCTTGGCTGCTACCCTAAAAATTTAACGACTTTTCCAACTATTCTTTTTATTAAACAAATACACCAAAATTTATTTTGGATTATTTTACGAAGAAAATCAAAACAACCTTTCTCTTCTTAACCTTGCATCAAACTTCCATTTAAAATTCTCTTTTTTTTTTAAATTAAACCTCTCGTTTTCTTTCATACCATTTCTTAAAATCTCTTCCTTAACCAAACAGTACAATCGAATAAGAAACATATCCTTCCCACTCTTTCTTTTGGCCAATCCTCTTCCTCTGTTTCTTCCTTTCATTTTATTATACACCCAACTGTTCTCGGACGCGACTAGTTCACGTTCGAGACGCATCGCCCCGCCCCTTATTTTTCCTGTTAGCCCCTCCCTGACCTGGAAATCCCTAATCGCTACTTCGGAAAGTATAAAAATAGGCGATTTTTAGGTCAATAAGTCAGTCCTTAACGGGCTCTTCGAGAGCTTAGTGCTCTCGGGGCTCTACTTTCTTATTTTTAGATTTTCCCATACTCTGTGGCTGGAGATGTTATTCTACTGCAACCTGGTATTTTTATTTCGACTTAACCTTTGTCATGTAAGAAATATCTTGCCTTTTTCAAGGCAAGATACCAGAAGAAAACATTTACGAGTCCATACCCTGAAAATGGACTTTAGTAGAGGAGCTATCGTAGACATTCTCGAAGCCCTCTACAGAGCACACGGTGGTACAGAAGGTGGCAAGACCCTTGCCATTTACCCAGAGGTGACATGGCGCCGACAACGTGGTTAAAATCCGCACCCACGACTCAGCTCGAATTCACAGAAGGCTGCACACCATTGACTTCAACATGGGTTGAAGTCAAGAAAAGAATGGGGAGAACCACGGATTGTTAGAATGCTATCATAACACTCCGACATCGAGGCCTTCTGCAAACCGGATGCCTTCGGCGTGCAGGCACCTTTGATGAGCCAGACTTCTTCGAAGTCAGAAGCCCCTGATGCCAATGGAAGTCCAGAAGTAGATCCAGTCATCGCCCCCCTACCGAAAGTGGTTGGACGACCACGTAGGCTTCGGCACCCTGGTACTCTGCGAAACCCCTGGATATGGCAGATGGGATCCGGACGACCGAGAAGAAGACGAACCCGTCGAAGGAGTTGGCACAGCGATCAAAGATGGACTTGCAGGAGCCGGAGATGCCGTCAACACCACCGACCTCCCTATTAGTGCTGTACAGTGAGTTTGCTTCAAGACAATTTTTAATTTTATTTGCATTTTCATGTATTTCTCACACTTTCCATACATTTTTATGTATTCTTGTATTAATTCACATATATTTTATTGTAATTAATATTTTTGAATTTTCAATAAATTTTTTCCCAGCCACAGAGTCTCCAGAGGAGGGGGGATGTTCTCGGACGCGACTAGTTCACGTTCGAGACGCATCGCCCCGCCCCTTATTTTTCCTGTTAGCCCCTCCCTGACCTGGAAATCCCTAATCGCTACTTCGGAAAGTATAAAAATAGGCGATTTTCAGGTCAATAAGTCAGTCCTTCACAGGCTCTCCGAGAGCTTAGTGCTCTCGGGGCTCTACTTTCTTATTTTTAGATTTTCCCATACTCTGTGGCTGGAGATGTTATTCCACTGCAACCTGGTATTTTTATTTCGACTTAACCTTTGTCATGTAAGAAATATCTTGCCTTTTTTAAGGCAAGATACCAGAAGAAAACATTTACGAGTCCATACCCTGAAAATGGACTTTAGTAGAGGAGCTATCGTAGACATTCTCGAAGCCCTCTACAGAGCACACGGTGGTACAGAAGGTGATTGAGACCCTTTTCATTTACCCCGAGGTGACACAACATACTACCCACTTCTGGCTTGACAACAAAATCTACGACATACCCCAAAAAGTTTAAAATACCCCAAAGTCGGAGGTCTTAAAAGTTAATTTCTGTTTATTATTTCTAAACAAATTATGTAAATTACCGCTTTAAATCCTAATCTTAACTACTTATCTCTAGGTACAACTGCTTACAAATAAATTTTAATTAATACATATTAGAAAAAACCCGAAACCGTATTTTAATTTGTTCATTGTTTCATAATAGCTTTCAAATCTACTATTGAGGATTAACAGTTCTTGAAATCACTTTAAATACTATGACGCACTTTTCAGTGGATTACAAAAATAGCCTTATTTATAATAATTTTTAAAAGATTTTTTTTATCCCTGAGACCAACTATTTAAACTATTGAACTTGCTCTATGAATGATGCTAGATACATTTAGTAAATTTCATAGAATTCTTTAAAACTTAAACTATCTCAGAAGTTAAATGCATATCGCGTTTTCCTCAAAATTATTTATAAAATAAACGTTTGTAAAAGGGGTATGTTTTTTACTTATAAACAATTGTAATAAATTCTATATTTTTCAAGCTACAGACTTGTACGTACAACCATTAGATAGCTGTTAAAAAACTCAGATTTAAAAAAATAAACTATTCTATGACCAATAGGAACGAAGTTAGCGACTATTTTTAAAAAAATCATATCTCCATTGTTTAACCTGGTTAAATCCGTTTAAACGTTTACCAAAGTTTTGTAAACGTAGAACGTTTTGTAAAAAGTTAAACATTGATATAAAATCCGTTTATGTATAAATAAACATTAAAAAGTTAAATTTGCACAAATTTTGAAAGAAAATCTAAACTTTATATTGAAAGTTATAGTTATACTAATTTTTCGAAACTTAAAGCCTTTCGAAACGAAGTTACTTTCGAAAGAGCGACATAGGAAAGTGGAGGGGAAACTGTTTTAACTCCATGCTCCAAAATTTCATCAGTCTTAGTGTAGGGGCTTTAGGAGCTTAACGGAATATACTTATACTTCTTTAAGTAAAATATTATGTATAGAATTAAACAAACCTGGGTATCGGACTAAAGTCGCAGAGGAAGATGCTGACTTACTCATCGTACAAACAGCTCTTCAGCAGTACATAAATGAACCAGAAATGAGTACAGTAATAATAGGTAATGACACTAACTTACTCGTGATAATGGCACAACCTTCTTCTTCAAACATAAATAAAATTTTTGAGCAGAAAGGTGAAAAGTATAAATCCACACTTTATGGCTGTAATAGTTTTCAACAACCTCATTTAAAAAAGGACGTCGAATTTTTGTACATTTTTACTGGATTAAATACCACTTCATGCTTTTTTTAATTAGGGGAAATTTAAATTAATCAACTCAAACGAAAAAACAATTGTTTATAAGTAAAAATTATACCACTTTTTGAAACATTTATTTTGTAAATATTTTCGATGAAAACGCAATATGCGTATGTATATTTAACTTCTAAGATAGTTTAAGTCTTAAAGAATCCTATGAAATTCGCTAAATGTGTCTAGCATCATGCATAGGGCAAGTTCAATAGTTTAAATAATTACCCTCAAGGAAAAACAAATTAAATAACTTTTAAACTATTTGACCGATCGGGGGGAAATTTCGCACACATTTAAAAGACGGTAATTCCTCGATGTTTAAATATATTAGTAATAGTTTGTTTTGTTAATAAAAAAATTAATAAAATTTATAAATTAGTGCAAAAAAACTGCTTTTTTGCAAATATCTCAGTAAAATATTTATTAATTTTAATTGAAAAAACGGGAAAATAAAGATATTCCTGATATAAAACAATGATATAAATATTGTTTATTTAAGATATAAGGGAAAAAACTTGTAGACAAAAAATCAAATTGTCATCTAGTAACCCTCACCTATGTCTTAAAAGCTTCAGATATCTGCGAAACATTTTTTGACCTTTTTTTTAAGCAGACTGGCTAATAGGTTGACTCATGCTAGAACAGCCATGATTAAACTGATAGCAATTTGGAAAAATTCTAGCATAACAATGCACACAAAACTAAGGCTGGTAGGGGCGCTCATTTTTCCCATAGCCACATATGCATCCGAAACGTGGACCTTAAAGAAAGCGGATAAAATAAACTGGACGCTTTTGAAATGTGAGTATACCGCCGCATGTTGAGAATATCCTGGATTGATCATTGCACTAACGTATCGATACTAGAACAACTTAAAGTAAAGGAAAGATTGCTTAAACAAATACAACAGAGAAATTTGCAGTATTTTGGACACATTGCTAGAAGAACAGGCACGATGGAAAAACTGATACTCGAGGGTATAGTTGAAGGAAAAAGATCTAGGGGAAGATCTCCAAGCCGCTGGGTAGATCAAACAAAAACATTGATTAACCAAGGGTTACATGAAGCCGAGTCGGTCAGATAGCTCAGCGGGCTGTGCGGCTGCCTCTCATTCGCTTCACTGTCGAATGGTTCAGTGGATGTGGGATCGAGCCCCAGCTCGGTGTACAGAAAACAAAAAGTCTAACGCAGCAGTTTAAAATTTTAGATGAATCTGCGGCTTAGACTAGGATATGCTGGGATCTGATCGGCCTATGGTGGAGCAGTACAGCAAGAGATAAGGGCTTGCGGCTCGGTGATACTCCTCCATAGATCCCAACGTCTAAAAACCGGATATTATATATATATATATATATATATATATATATATATATATATACATGAAGCCGAACAACTAGTCCAAGACAGAGAAGGATGGAGGGAAATCCTAAAAAAACTCTGAAGGCCTGATGGTGTCACCACATCCCAAAACCAAAAGGGATTAGGAGTGAGGAGGAGGAGGGCTGATATATATATATATATATATATATATATATATATATATATATATATATATATATATATATATATATATATATATAATCTTTATATCTTTATATCTATATACCGTTATATAATATATATTGTTAAACATGTTTTGTAAACTCTATACGATTTCTGTTATTGTTATTTTTATAAAATTTATTCCAAATTGCAGCTAATCATATTTCAGGTGCATGCATTTTCGGAAAAAACGTGTGTGATTGGAATAAAGTGATTTTAATTTTCATAGTTGACTACGATTTCAGCGTCAGCCGTTCGTCGGTTTGAAAATTTTTCATTTGTGTTTATATTGAGGCCATTATTCTATTTAATCTGGAGCTAAGCGGATTCCGGATCAGTTTTCACGATTGGAATATTTTGTCTAGTGGTGTGGTTGCCATAGTGACTAGTCTGCTTAACGGTCGCCGCACATCATCCCACAATATTATATGTAACCAGTTAAAATACTGCTACGTTCGATGAACTTTTTACAAATAAAAGAAAGATAACTTCTGCCATGATAAGGTTTTTTGACTCTTTTTCCTATATCACTGAATATTCGACCGACTATATTAGATGTAACCAGTTAAAATACTGGAAAGTCCGGTGAAATTTTTACAAATAAAAGAAAGAAAAACTCCTGGTATGTCTTTTTTCTTTTTTTTTTTATTAATTTAATGTTTCAGTTCCACAAACGATATGGAAAATAAAGAAACAGTTTCCAGTAGTACCTATTGATAAGGATGATTTTTATGAACGTTCAAAAAGGTGGGTTTGTATCGAATTTGTTTAATAAATTTACAAATAAAATCTAAATGTGGATTTTGATTACCTATTTCATTTTAAGGCAGAAGTATAAAGAAAGTGCCGATGAAGTAAGCTACAAATTATTGACAGATTGTAGTTGGCAGTGTTGCCATATCACAAATAAATCACGAAAGAGCATGCGATATAATATTAATTAATGTTACTAAACATTATTTTTAAGTTTTTAAAAGAAGTTTAATTAATTTAAATTTAATTTATTATATTTTAAATTAACTTTAATTTTTTAAGCATATATTCAGGTACCATTTCATAACAAAATTATAAGAAAATAGTTATAATATTGAAATCTGCTGAACTTTACTGTTCATTCATGTTATCTGTTGCAATCTAGCAGCTAGTGTTTTCAAAGTTTTGACAGTATTGCCAAGTTTATTTGCTAATCTACCAAAAGCCAATTATATTTTTTTTCTAGTAACTAACTGCAACTAATACCAAAAGAAACAAATATTCACTCTTTCCTGTTTTATATAAATTTAATAAAATTTAAAAAATACCCAATTTCATAAAATAATATAATAAAAATGTACTTTTTCAAAGCATATTTGAGGCATAAAACATATACATAATAAGGACATGGCAATCCCGTAAACACAAATTTGACATGACATGTATAGCCAACTTCATCGGCACTTTCTCTATACTTTTGCCCATCTTAATATTAAAATTACTCACACTATTTTAGAAAATTTATTGATACTGAAGCATGTAATATGGAGACAGACTTGGGCTTTAATGTAAAATCTAATTCTCCTAAACTATTAAAAAGGAGGTGAGTTTTGGCTAAATTTTGTATGAGATTATTTTAATCTTAAACCAATTTTAATATTTTTCTTTAATGTATTACAGCATCAGAAACTGAAACTGTAGAGTAGTTACTTGGTGATAATACTTTTTCATATGTTCCACGTAATATTTATAAAAAGTGAGTTCTTAGTTTAATTTATAAAAACAAGGATTATGATTATCTAATTAAGTATATGTTTTAGAAATAAAACCGTTGAAGAAATGTCTAGCAGCGATATTTCAACACCTGAAAAGGCCAAGAAACATATTAGAGTGTTAAAAAATACTGTCAAGAGCCAAAAAAGTCAAATAAAGTATTTACAACAATCTGTAAGAAGAACATAAAATGACAAAAATCTATCTATCTGAACGACGATATTATTCAGTGGAAGAATTTCTTAACGAGTAACTAAGAGTAACTACTTCGTAAGGTTTTATTATGCAACAGTTAGATTTTGCAATGAATTGTATATTTTACTATATTTTATTTTATGATATTGACGATTTTTGTAATTTTACTAAATTTTAATTGTTATAGTTGTTGTTTTTTAAAATTTTTGTAAGCTTTGTCCATGAAATTGTATAATTTTAAGTGAGAATAAAGCTAATTCTATTTTTGAACCCTCCCCGTTCCATAAGGTTTAATGTGTTTTATATATTGTTGTATATGTGGTTTCTTGTTTATGTTTTGTTAAACAATAGTTTATGGTTTTATTACGTTTATTAATATTTTCATAAATATATATTCCTGAATTTTTATCTTTCTTCTGTTTACTGCTATGTTTAACGTGACATACTAATGTTGCCAGTTAACAATTAAGCTGGAGTTATATACCATAATTTACTATATTTTTTCAACTTATCACTCACTGAATAAGAGAAGAACATATTTAATACCCTGAACAGGTTAATGTTTGGGGAAGAATTTTTTAATCTTTTTATTGTTTGTGTGTTATTTTAGTTTAAATAAAATATTATATAAAGTACTTTACGATTTTATTTACTCCATCTTTATTTTTTTGTGTAAATTAATTTTTGTAAATATATTTCTATACACTGAAAATTAAAATTATTCACCGTTTGTTATTTCTCACTTATTCAAAATATTTCATATGTTTACGATACTAAAAATAAAAGCAATCAAACCACTAGTCATTATTTATTCAACTGAAAAAACTGTTTCAAATAACTTTAAAATATTGGAAGGTACGCCGCTGACTTAAAAGGTAATGTCACAGTCTATCACCTCGTCTCTTTCCCCGCGCCTATAAACTTTTCGACTTCAAATTTAGGTGAACAGAGTGCAGGGCATGCCTAGTCCATCTTTATTTATACGTTCATGAGTTAGGCTGATTCTAAAAAATAAATACAAAGAGAATAACTAATAAAAACATACCTTAGTATACTTTCAATTTAAACCTTTTGATACAATTTTTATTTTGATATAATAAAATAACTAAACGTGTCAAAAAGCAGTTCTCGTCGCTGAGTATTAACTGATTTAATTAACCACCCGTTCCACTTTGATTGGAACTCTAATTAAAAACTGTATCCTTCAAAGGCACAAAAACCAAAAATATCTCTCTAATACTTCACATGCTCGTAACGTAAAATGATTTTTCCGGCTAAAAAATGATAGGCAAATTTAATTAACAAAAATAATCTAATTAAAACCATGAAACAGATAGGTCCACATTATCTATATTATCCTACAAAGCTACTGTTGCGACGTGTAAATTTTCAAATTTAATGACCGACTATTTTAAACAAGTCGCTACGTAAATACATCGATAGACCTTAATTGGCAATATAAAAATTCTACTATGTTGCTGTTATTAGCAATATTAATTTTCGTAATACGATATGCAACAGTAAAGAGAACAAAATCATCATTTTAATAATATAATGGTGGATATTAAAAAAGAGGAGAAACGAACTCTTTATGCATAAAAATATGTGTAAGAATTCAAATATGAAAAAAAGACCAAAAAGACGGTATACTGTATCCAGAAATTTAGTGTCTCATAATAAAAGTTATTTTAATAACAGCTGTAAAACTGAATAATTCCTTGTATAGTCCTTCTCAGAGCCTTTTTTCAGTGCGTCATTAATTGTGACGTCATATACTGTATTGGATGTGTCGAGTATAGAACATCCCAGAGATACTTTTCAGTGCTTCACAGTTATTCGATTTCTTTCCAATGCATTAAGTTGAATGTGACGGAGAAAACGGTAGTTCGGTGATTAAACAGAACTATATTGCAGCGTTCGAATAAGCTTACATACATAAGAGGTTCTTTCCTAACCTACGTTTGATTCGTTGATATTTAGATGCGCGCTTTCTCTAGCCAATCAAATACGCCTATTACTGACAGTTGACGTAACATTTCGTCCATGCTGGCTATGCTTTCGAAGTGTTCCAACAGCAAGTGACGGCTGACGTTCAGGTCAGTATTTGCAAATAATATAGACGCTATATAATATATTTATATTCTTTGGTATTTGTTTTGTATAATTTTATTTTGTATTTTGTTTTACATAGTATTGTGATTGTGGTTTTATTTGTATTTATACAAGATGACAAGATATACCGAAAAAGAACAAGATCTAATATCAAAATTGCTTAAATATTTTCAATTGGAAAAGAAAGCTGGACAAACATTATTACCAATTTCTGCTGTCCGTGAAGTAAGTTGAAAATTACCCTGAAAATAAAATTGTTCTATTTACTGTTTATTTCAGCGTAATGGGGACATTAGGTATTTGTATGGTATTTTTCAAAACACCATTCAATACACATAGTTTTTTCACCATATTGCGACCTTTGTATTTACTTGACCTAGTGGTTCAATGGTATCATAATTGGATAACATAGAACACTATTATCATACAATTTCACACACAAAATTTCATTAGTTTTGTCAAATCTATAATCATATGCATTTTTCTTCATTAGCTTACTCTTCATTAGCTTTCTCCATTACTGGACATTTTACAGTTCCTGTTGCCGTTACATTTGTTTGTTTCAGATATATCATTAGTTGATATGTCATGAAATGTTTATCGAAAAAATTTCATTTGTTGATGGTTCAGGAAACTGTTTCAAAATATCAATTACTATTTTAGCTTCAAGTGGTCAATTTTAATAGTACTAATTGGTTTTTATTTCGACAACAAACGTGAAAACCATAATCATATCCAGTGGAACCAGTTATCATCCAATTCTTATATTCACATCTGACTGGCTTCTCTCTAATTAACTGTTTAGCTAAATTATGACCAAAATATTTGACCACGGAGTTG